TAAGAAGACGGAATCATACGAGGTCAAACACGAGGAGCCTGATTCATAAACAAGAGCAAGCTAAAACCGATGAGTCAAATGTCTTGTTTTGTGATACTGTCCTGGGCGGTAAAGGTTGTGGACTTTTTCATTGGGTTACTATTAGTTTTCCTTCAGTCAGCAAACAGTAAGTAAAATAAGTCCGGCTTTGACTTTGATAGTTCGTGTTCTGCGCGTCATCAAAAAACGTAACCGCTAGCGAGGGCATAACAGGCCTTCCTGTGACTTGTTCTGCAACATAAAACAGGGCGGATGATGGTCAACTGACTGAAGACAATAGATAAAGTTTGGGACCTGTTCAAGGTCCAAGTGGGTAACTGGCAGCAGGAAGACATTTTACCATTGTGAACGTGGAGAATCCCTTTAAGGCAGGGGTGAGCAACTGTGGGCCTCCAGCTGTTGTAGAACTACAAGTCCCATGATGCATTGCAAAACTGACAGTTACAAGCATGAGTCCCAAAGACAGAGGCATGATGGGACTTGTAGTTCACCAACAGCTGGAGGGCCACAGTTGCCCAAGGTATCCTTTGGGTCCAGATGATATCTTCAAACTTCGGTGTCTGCAATCACTGTGAACACAATAAATTGTTGGTGCCGCTTAGCTGGTGCCTCTGTGACTGAAGTTGGTAATTTTATTTGCCGTGCTGCAAGGTACAGTATCGAAGATTATGACGGCAGACAGATTCCGGTAAAGTGTTGTCTGATAAGTACAAAGGCGGTCGACTGACCAAAAGAGACAAAAGGACGTTGCATAGGATTGTGACTCGGAATAAGAAAACAACTGCTGCAAAAGTGACTGCAGAGCTCAATCTCAGTCTTCCAGGGACTCAGTCTTCACGGGACTGATATTGAGCTCTGCAGTCACCTTTGCAGCAGTTGTTTTTCTTGTTCCAGGTCACAGTCCTGCACAATGTCCTTCTGTCTCTTTCAGTCAGTTGACCGTGTATGAACATGTATATTATATAGGGCGTGCTTGTTGGAGCCCAACCTCTGTAGCTGTAAGATAAAGGTGCCAGATGGATATCAGGGATGGATGGATGGATGGATGGGAGCAGTAACACTGAGGCAGCTCTTCTTAGAGTGGAAGCAAGGCTCTAATGCAGTAAGAAAGAGGAAGGCGCCTCTAAGTGCAGTATTGACAATTTATTCAGTAAACAATGGAAAATTTGCACTTACAAGATAAACGGTTAAAAAGACTCATCGTGTGGTAATTAGATCCAGGTGGGACATCCAGCCGTCCAGCAGCAAACTGTCTATAGAATCAGGAAGTAGAGACCAGGATGTGCCTGTGCATCAAAATGAAGCTGGGAGAGCAGAGTCAGATGTAGCAGGTGAAGGGGGCGGTAATGCATTTCGGAGCATGCTCAATAGCCTCTGAGGATGAGTCTTTTTAGCAGTTTATCTTCTAAGTGCAAATTTTCCATTGTTTACTGAATAAATTGTCAATACTGCACTTAGAGGCGCCTTCCTCTCTTTTTCTTGACTGTGTATGAACACCCACCATAACCCCTCGAGGCTTGTACTCCACTAGACTTCTGGAGGTATGCTGTTGTATCCGGCACCAATCCATCAGCAGAAGATCCAGTATGATCTGTCAGTTATGAGGTGGCGCCTGCATGGATCTGACTTGTTTTTCCAGCACATTCCACAGATACTTGATTGGTTTGAGATCTGCAGAATTTGGAAGGCAAGTCAACACTTGAAACCCATTGTTGTGCTCCCCACACCATTCTTGCATTCATCAGATCAGGCCACCTTCTTCTATTTGCAAAATACACCTGTACACGGGTGTGGTGGTTTAGTAGCAATTCTTCATATGCATCTGCTTTTCTGCCTGGAACAGGGATACTTCAGGCCTTGCTGCTCTCTAAGGCCTGGGGTTGTCCCAAAATGCAATTATAAAAACACAAAACAAGAGAGGATGCACCAGCCTAGTGCATTATCTCAAAAAACATATTAATAATCTGCGTATAATATACTCGCAAACCATGCGAAAGTACAGCATGTCAAGCTACAGATTCATAGCACAGTAGTTCGTCAGACTCAGCGTACTCCACTCCACCAGGACCCTAGCTGGCTTATGTGTTTCAAGGGTTTTCAAAGGGCTCTACACTCGTCATCAGAGCCAAAATCTTGAGTTTGGCTCTGATGAAGAGGGTTTAGCCCTCGAAATGCGTAAGTAGGCTAGGAGGCCAATGGAGTTCCCATTAGCTCTGGAGTACACTGCGTCTGATCAACTGCTGTGCTACGGATCAGTAGCTTGTCATGCTGTAGTTTTCAAGTGGTCTGCAAGTATATTTTATGCAGATTCTTATATGGGATAATACACTAGGCTGGTGCACCCTCTTTTGTTTGTGTTTTTATAGTCACCTTCTTCCATTGCATTGTGGTCCAGTTCTGGTGATCACGTGCCCATTGTAGGCACTTTTGGCTGTGGACACGGATCAGCGTGGGCACCCTGACTAGTCTGTGGCTATGCAGCCCCATACACAACAAACTGTGCCGCACTGTATGTTCTGACACCTTTCTATTGGAACCTGCGTACGTTTTTCAGCAATTTGAGCTACAGTAGTTCTTCTATTGGATCAAACGACAACAAAAAAAAAATTCCAGCTCAACTTACCAACCAGCATTCAACCAACCGGATTTTCCTGTCTAACAGTTCACGTTAAAACCAGGGGTTTATTTTACACTTTTTTGCAAATATATATTTATGTAAGCTGCAGGGCCACTTCATGGCACCCCAGTGTACTGCAGTCCTAACTCTATAAATGTTGAGAGCCTCCATAGTAGGAGCACATATATAATAATGGATAGATTATGGGCAGGAAAGCCTGGAGGGAGCCCACCCCTCCTTACCACTTCCCAGTGTGCCACTGTATATAAATGGCCGGACGGTGGCAGTGCAGGGGCGTGTTGCCGGTCATAAACGGCGCCCGCCATTTTGGATTGTGCCCGCCATTTTGGGCACCGCGATCCAGACAGCGGAACACCGATCGCTGTACAGGACCTCTGTGTGAGGTCCCAATCATGTGATCACTGATTGGCCAATCAGTGATCACATGAATAGGTGTAAGCAAGATGTCACTTCTGACATCATTTCTTATTACGTGTGAAATCTATGAATGATCACCACAGAGATCACATGGTACAATGCTATTCACAACAGTCTTGTACCATGTGACAAGCTGTGACCAATCACAGCTCTCACAGTATTTTTCAATGGCTTCAGGAATGCAGCCAGAGAGATTGAGAAATGATTGCTTTTACAGCCTTTATGGGTGTAAAAGCAATCAATGTAAAAAAAAAAAAAAAAAATCTTCATCACCTCCCACAAGTAGTGCGACTGCTAGGGTGACAGTATGTTATAAAAAAAAAAAAAATGTTTTAAATTATTTTTTTTACTAAAAAGTTAACTGAATACATTTTGGCCAAGATTTATGAAGAAAGTTTATTTGCAAAATGTTATAAGAAAAGCACTTTTTTAAAAAACTTTTTGGACTTTTTCATTTATATAGCAAAAAAAAATAAAAATCACAGCGGTGAATAAATACCACCAAAATAAAGTTTCCTCTGTCTAAAAAAAAAAAAATGCTAAAAAATTTATATGGGTACAGTGTTGCATGACGGCGCAATTGTCATTCAAAGTGCGACAGCGCTGAAAGCTGAAAATTGGCCTGGACAGGAAGGGGGTAAAAGTGTCCGGACTGGAAGTGGTTAAAGACATAGGGGCGCACTGGACACCCAGCACAATGACAGCAAAGGTGTCCAGTGCATCCCCTCACCAATATACCAACAGTACAAACAAATGACAACTGTCCTAACCTATAACTGGACTTTGCAGCAAGGAGGCTGGTTGGTAAGTTGAGATGGGAATTTGTCTTTGTTGTTTGACTTGCATCACACTTCCATGTGCTTCTTGCTGCAAAGGCCAGTTGCAGACAGCTTAGGCACTGTACAGTCACATCATCATGGTACTGAACACTGTTTTCTCATTATGCTGCTCCCAGAGGCGGACTGACAACTAATGGGGCCTCCGGGCAATAGGGGATCATGGGGCCCATGTGTCCTCACCCACACCCAAAAAAGCCTATGAAAAAGACAATAAAAGGTACCAGGGGCATCTCATGAGGCCCCCTACTGACCCCGGGCCCTCGGGCTGTGCCCGAGTGCTCGAATGGTCAGTCCGCCCCTGGCTGCTCCTAACAAAATTCTATTGGAAGGACGGTATTTCACTTTAAAAGGAAATGTGAATCTTGTGTTCTTAAGTGATCTTAGAATAAGCCGGTTGTAGATGGACTGAAATTTGTCCAGTTCAGCAGAAACCACCTGAATTTCGATCCATCTAAGGGCAGGCTTGTATTGAAGTTGATCCATTGATTTGACTTCACTACAACCAGCTTGTCGGGTTTTTCTTCATGTGATCACTGCCAGCAGCTATAGCCGCCAGCAGTGATCATCGCATTCTGATGGAGGGGAAATTTCCTGCTGTCAGAATACAGTAGTGTAGTGGGAGGTATTGCCCCATCAACACTGACCGTCAATTGTCAATTTTCTTTTTGAGTGACCATGGGTTGAAGGAAAGAAAATTTCTTTATCTGTGACTTGCTTAACCCCCGGTTCACATATATGCGGGCCGCGTTTTGCGCGGGCACAAGAGCCCATTCATTTGAATGGACTCACGTGCCCTGTGACACGCAGGGAAGAAGTCCTGCACTTCTTCTGAAAATGCAGCCCGTACTGGAACCTCGGTTCCCAGTACGGCTGCGTTTTCCAGTGCGGGTGGCGTGCCATTAGAACTAATGGCACCTGCCCGCGGGTACGCATCCCTCTGTGCGGGTGGTGCGGGTGCACGGATTTTCATGCAGATCCGCAGCTGCACCACCCGCATAGATGTGAACCGAGCCTAAATGTTGACAAGGTTTTGTGTTCTTTACTTACACTGTATTTTATCCCTACAGGTCTCCAAAGGATTCCCGTCTTTTCTTGGTCTATCCCCATGACTCTCACGCTCTGTCCCACTCTTTTGATGAGCTTCAGATGTTTGACGATGGTTCCTCCGACCTGGTGTCTGTAAGCAGTTACCTTATATCTCCTTTTTAAAAAATGTATTGTTGTAACACTGAATGAAGAGTAAACTGGGGTGCTGACAGCTGGAAAGAGGCCATAGTTGTCTGTGTTGCTTGTAGATTTCCAGTTTTAAGATCCAAATCCTCATATGGTGCCTAATCTACATATAGATAGTACCACGATTTCTGTAATCCGCTAGCAAGCTTCTCTTGTTCACCAACATGCAAGATTTTCGTAGTAATTTTTGATTCCCCCCGGAATATATCACCCAGCATAAGTAAGGGTCCAATAAAGCTCTTATGTTCCAAAGCACATGGAGTCTTCTTATCTTCTAAAGTCTTCCCCTTTAATGCCTCGTACACACGATGAGAATATCGGACGAACGATCACCTGTTTTTTTTTTTCTCCTGCTAATCTTACATCGAAAATGAAGAGGTTACTAAAGATACGAAAATTCTCGTATGACAGAAAAGAATTTAGAAAGTGATGTCATGTATTGTATTTGTATTGTATTTTCGGACGACTACTGTACTGATTAAACGAAAATCGTACGATCTGGTATCATACAACAAAAATTTTCGTGCTTGTCCCTTTTGGATATTGTCGCACGAATTGTTGTGAACCTCTCTCGAAAGCTGTGTACTAACGATCCGATTATCGGATGATCGGTCCTCGTACGAAAATTTTCAGAAGATTTTCTTATCGTGTGTACAGGGCTTAAGTGTTCCTAAATGTATAGTAAAGGATTTAGGATAGTGGTCCTATTTGTATGTTATTATTCGCCTGGGGGCGTACTTTTCCAGCAGCCTTGAGTCTTTTTTTTTTTTTTTTCATTTGACTTTGTGGACATCTGCGTGCTGAGGGCTAATTATAATACAGGATGCCTAATCTAACGTTCTCTCGCACCAGCTTTGCTTTACAAAGATTTTATTGGGTACACAAATGTTGTATGCAGAACAGTGCATCAAAAAAAGTAAAGCAAGGTATAGCAGAGGTAAGTATGAGATGACAAATCCATCTGGACATGTAAACAATACCCAACAATTCAGTGCTGGGGTAAAAAAGACTGGTAAGTATACAGATCCTAAAGTCCAATAGTTTAGCGTTTCTATAGAAACACGTGAAACCTCACAAACATTTTTTCTTTATAAAATGATCTTCCAGATTAACGGGAATCCTCCTTCTTTAAAAGGAAAAAAAAATTATTTGAACTCCTCTTCTGTGAAATTCCCTCAAAAAAACCAATCGCAAATAGTTCATTATCAAAAAATGCATGATAACTTTCAAAAACGCATTCTCAACAAATGTGGAAATATTGAGAATGCGTTTTTGAAAGTTATCATTCGTTTTTTGATAATGCACTATTTGCGATTTTTTTTTTTTTGAGGGAATTTCACAGAAGAAGAGGAGTTCAAATAATTTTTTTTCCTTTTAAAGAAGGAGGATTCCTGCTAATTTGGAAGATCATTTTATAAAGAAAACATTTTTGTGGGGTTTCACGTGTTTCTATAGAGACGCTGAACTGTTGGACTTTATGACTTTGACTTTCGGGGGAGAGAGGATATTTCAGCATTGAGGGCATTTCACAATATTATTTTTGGGATGGCACCGATTTATTTATTACATAAGTATACAGATCCAGCATCAGCCTGGCCCATGAGGCCATCCAGTGGGAGCTGATGTCTGAAGAAGGAACATAGCGCCAGAAGTGAAGGAGGGAGAAGTGAGAAAAATCCGCCTGTGATCTTCAACGGCTCATAAGGGAGAGAGAAGAGGAATAAAAGATGAAAGGGAAGAGGGAGCATGCCTGGGGGGAAAAAAGGGGTAAAGGGAAGAATTCCATAGTTACATAGTTAGTCCGGTTAAAAAAAAAGACACACGTCCATCTGGATCAATCATTAAAAGGGGGGGGGGTTATACAATCCTGTATACACAATCCTATACCCACAGTTGATCCAGAGGAAGGCAAAAACCCCAATGAAGCATGATCCAATTTGCTCCAGCAAGGGACAATTGGATGTTCCCCGGATCAACTTTACATATAAATATTAGTATCCAGTTACATTATGTACATTTATGCCCTTTTGATTCAGTCCATTACACTACCCTGATCTAGACTGTGCAAAAAGTCATATAGAGCAGTCCAGGCTTGGGCGATCATTAAAGGCAGTCCATGGGTCCCAGATCCTCAGGAACTTAGCAAGGGTGTCCATAAGGATAGATGTGAGTTTCTGATGGAAACTCTGTTTGACCTCAGCAATGTTAAGAAATGACTGGCACCAGGCTCTGGTCAGTGCTTGTCAAGCTGCCAAGAAGACAAACTCCAGGGACGGGATAGACTTATGCAACAACGCTACCCAGGGGTTCCATGCCAATGAAACATGCAAGACAAATCTGATCAGTGAGTAAACCTGTATCCAAAACCACAGAAGCCTTTGGGCAAGACCACCTGATATGAAAAAGGGTGCTGGGAACAGAAGAGGGAGGCGGAGGGGACAAATTTTGCAAGGCCTGGATTTTTTTTCTAAGTGCACATAATATAACTGGATACTAGAGTTGATCCAGGGAATATCCAAAGGTCTTGGGGGATCAGGAAGGATTTTATTTTCCTGCTGGAGCAGCTTGGTGAGAAGGTGACAACAGTTGGTGCAATCATTCGCAAATGGAAGAAACACAAAACAACTGTCAGTCTCCCTAGGTCTGGTGCTCCATGCAAGATCTCACCTCGTGGAGTGTCATGATCATGACAACAGTGAGGAATCATCCCAGAACTACACGTGAGGATCTTGTCAATGATCTCCAGGCAGCTGGGACCACAGTCACCAAGAAAACAATTGGTAACACACTACGCCGAC